GAACAATTGTGGGCATGGTAGTTTAGAGTTTGAACTTGTGAACAATTTAGGATTTTCCTATTGGAAGTTCTTAGGTTGTTATAGTATGAAAAATTAGGGCTTGTAAAATTAGGTTCTTATAGTATGAAGAATTAGTTTAGCAGAGTTTTTCTGTATGAAAGGCCTATTGGTTATAATGTCTTACATGGATGGTTCAATACATGAAGATGAAATGAGAAATTATGGCGCGCACAGTGAGATTGTGGGAAGAGTTTTTACAGTATGTGCATGCTATTTCATAGAATGTGAAATTAAAAAAATCAAAGTATGAAAGCAACTACACACGAAACACATGACGAAAACGGGTTTGATAAACTTGAACAAAATGTCAATTAAAGATATGGAAAAGGTTCTTTCAAAGCATTTGAAAACACCCACCCATGAAAGCCCCAAAAAAAGAGTTTTAATTAAAAAAATTATTTAAAAAAAATAATAATAATACCAAAGGGAAAGCATAACAACATAAAACAAAGAGTAAAGGAAAACATAAGCTCGTAAGAAGGGATGAAGAAATCATGACAAATCACAACAAAAGAATTCAAATGTTAATTCATAATAATTGGAGAAATGATCCCACACATGATTTTTTGTTTAAATGTACAAATAGATAATCCTTCTAAATAATACAAGAAATATAAGTCATGTAGGATGCTATTATATATGGATCAAATAACTTTCATTTCCATGTTCATGTCGATATGCCACTTAAATATTTTGTAATACCAAAAGACCCATGCCTAAAGGCACTCCTGTGTAATATATGTGGTGTTTGCTCTCAAATGTGCTTACTTTATTATTTTGAAATAATTGAGTTACTTTGAATGAAAAGTGTAGGTATGGAAGTTGTGAGAATTATATTCTATTGGGGTGGAAAGATTTTGCGTAATCGCGATGAAGGTGTGTCGTACGACACCGAACTTCAGGGGTTGTATAATGTGCACAAGGGGATAACATTGGCTGAGTTGGAGGCTATGATGGTGCCGAAGGTTGGTACGCATGGGGAAATAATTCAATTAGAGTTTAAATGTAGACTCCTATGTCGGGGGAAGTATAGGTTGCTGCCAATCAAAGATAATGAGACCTTAAGTAATGTCTTAGAGTTCCCACATAAATTAGGCCCTGATTATTTTTTGGAAATCTATGTGGAGAAGGAGAGCAATTTTGGTGGCACAGAGATGCCAATTCCGGTGGGTGGGACATTCACTCAAATGTTGACACAATCGCAATCCCCTGACAATACACTTATACAGTCTGCACACATTCCCTGAAGATTACCCTCCATTCAATCATTCTCAGAGTTACAATCAATTAAATGCATCACAGAACGTAGATGGTTATTACAGTGCCGGAGCAGGTCCAAGTGCTCCGACAACGTATAATCCGATGGTTCTTACAACCCCATATCCCCACTGGAATGAAGAATGTCCACCAGTTTGTAATGTTCAACGTACACCAGAGACGGCTGTCCAAAATTATGCATACTCCGATGATACAGTGCCATTGTTTGACGAGGTTGGAGTAAGTGATGAAGATTCTGTGGAAGATTTGGATGGCGCATGAGAATGTGCGGACAATGACTCCGGTGATGACGAAGTTGGAGGGCATCATGATATGCAGGAGGTACACACAAATGTCCATATCCCTTTCTACCATAATTTGCATTTCGACAATGATGGTTCCATCACTAGCCGTGATGTTGTCGAACGTTGGCCATTGTGGGACTTCGAAACTGCTAATTTGGAGAAAGGAATGATATTTACTGATAAGAAAAGACTAGTGCACGCTGTTCAGTTGTATAACCTGAAGCGCAATCAAGAATGCAAGGTCGTAGAATCCAAAGGAAACAGTTGGGTGGCCAAGTGCAAGCACGGCTGCAACTGGAGGGTTCGGGCAACGAAGTTGAAAGACAAAGATTTCTCTTAAATTAGAAGGTTTGAAGCGCCGCATCAGTGTGTATACCCTAGAATGAATAGGGACAATTGCAACTTCAAGTCCGAGGTCATTGCTCATTTCATCGAGGCACAAATTGCGGTAAGTGCCATGCTAGATACATTATTGTTTTTAGGATTTCATTATGACTGTAATGTATTCAAATATAATGTATATTTGCAGATATCACCAGAATTGCCTCTTGCTACCATAATTGAGGTCGTGAAGGAGAAGTTTCAGTTCACTATATCATATAAGAAAGCGTGGCTTGCAAAGACGAAGGCAGTTGCAATGGTGTTTGGTGACTGGGACGAATCGTACCGAAGGTTGCCTAGATATATGGCTGCATTGCAGGCATTCAATCCAGGCACAGTTGTCATGTAGGACATGATTCTGAATTTGCACTCTACCTCAATCGGAACTGAAATGTACATGAACTATGTGTTCTGGGTATTTAAACCTGCAATAGAAGGCTTCAAGTATTGTCGTCCAGTGATATGCATTGACGGCACACACTTGTACGGGAAATACGAAGGAAAGATTGTTGCGGCCACTGCAGTGACTGCTGCGGACTAGATTGTACCTCTTGCCTTTGCCGTTGTTGACAAGGAGATGATCGAGAGTTGGGGTTGGTTCATTACTCTGCTTAGGCGACATGTATGCCGTGACCGAGAGGGGGTCACATTGATATCCGATCGACACACAGCTTTGCTTAGTGTCGTGTCAAGAATTTGGGACAATCCAGCAGTTCAACCAAGAGGGTACCATAGGTATTGCTTGCGACACGTATGTAGCAATTTCAATGAAAGATTCGGCAATACAGTAGCGAAGAATCTTGTGTGGAGAGTTGGTTCTGCACGGAAAGTGCTGAAGTTTAACAAGATTATGGACGATATCTACAAGCTCGAGAAGAATGCTGAACGCTGGTTTAGACGGATGAACCTTATTCATTGGACATTGTGCCATGATGGTGGTTGCCGTTGGGGCATATTGACGACAAACCATATAGAGGGCTTCAATGGTGTACTGAAAGACGCACGCAGTGTTCACATTACAGCATCAGTTGAGATAACTTTTTATCGGCTCGTGAAATATTTTGACGAGGGCAGGACCATTGCTGAAAATACGAGTAATCAGGGTCACTTGTACACGACTAATGTTCAATGATGGATTGACGAGCACCAAGCTAAAGGGAATGTGCATATGTTGGTACCGATTAATAGGTATTTTTTATTGGATGCACCGAATTCACTACACATTAACATTTCGCATTCGTCGATCATTGATGTTAGTCTCTATTTAAACATATATGCATATTAATACATGCACATACATTTTTCCTGCAGGGGAATAGGGGAATATGAGGTGAGGACAACACCGCATGGGATGGGGGGTGGTGCTCGTCAAATAGTTAGTCTCCGACCACTGAGTTGTTCATGTGGGAAGTACACATTATTTCACCTGCCATGTTCCCACATGCTTGCTGTGACAACAGACTTGGGCAAGGACCCTTTTCCTTTCGTTGCACCAGAGTATAGGTTGGAAGTCCACAAGCGTATCTTCGCGCAGAAGTTTAGGCCCATGCCGCACGAGCAATATTGGCCTGACAATGATTACCCAACTTTGCTTGCTATTCCAGCTCGACAATGTCAAGTTAAAACGGGTCATCCTCAACATAGCCGCATCCACAACGAAATGGATACTTCCAGAAAAAGTGGATTGCACCATTGTAGTTTGTGTTTGCAAAGAGGGCATGATAAGAGAAAATGTCCAGTGAGAATCCGATCGATTCGACAGTAGTTTTTTGTCTTCTTTACATATTAGTTCCACGCTACTTTCTTTGAATTGGAGTCAATGTAATATTCAATGAATCAGTATTCAGTAAATTGATAATGTATTTACGACTTCAATTACTAATGACATAGATTTGGTCAAATGTGGCAAATCTCTTCAATTGCTTTAGTTGTTGCGAGTGTCCTTTGTGCATTGGATTGTGCAGACTTTGGTGCGTTGATGGACGATTGTGTCCTGACCTCGATGGACACCAGTTTATCTAATGTTAGAAAAATGCAAATATTCATAGAATGAATTGATAATCACCAATATAAATGCAGTTTATATTCAATGTTTTGCCACATTTTGTTATGTAGGAAACTAATTTCTTTTTAATTTTTTTTTCCAAAATCCATTACGTGGGTGAAGGCCCATTTTATGAATTCAATCATTTCTCGGACATTTACTACGTATTCGTATATGCTTAGTTCTTGTAAAAAGTTTGAGTAATGTATTTCAAATCTACATAAAACTCTCTTCAAACCTTCGTACTTCTTTCCAAAAAAATGACAACTCCTTTAAAGCGAAAGCACGTTTTTTCATGTCATACAGGTTGACGTGACAACACACTGACAATAACTTTAATCACATAGGTACCATGTGAACCTTATCTCCTATGACAATAATGTCAAATGAATTACTAATCACCAATATAAATGCATGTCATATTTAATGCGTTGCCACATTTTGTTAGGTCGTGAATTGTTTTTTTAGTTTCCAAAAATTCATTACGTGAGGGAAGACCATTTTATCAATTCAATTATGTGTCTTAAATTTAGTACATATTGGTAAATGCTTAGTTGTTCTAAAAAGTTTTAGTAGTGGATTTGAAATCTACTTAAAGCATGGGTTTTCATGTCATAAAGCTTGACGTGACAACGCGCTAACAATATCTTTAAACTCACAGGTACCATGTGTACCTTATCTTCTATCACAATAATGTGAAATGAATTACTAATCAACAATATAAATGCATGTAATATTCAATGCGTAGCCACATTTTGTTAGGTGGTGAACTGTTTTTTAGTTATCAAGAAATTTTTCTAAGCAACCCTTTGTTTTTGTTTTCCCTAACTTGTTGTAGTTTGTATACCTGTGATATACTGTCAGGTCGTATTCTAATTTTGTCAGCATATGTATGTACTATTGTCAAACTTCTTGTTATCAGATATCGATTTCATATATGAAAACTTGTGCAGGTCTATGACTCATTTACCAGAGGAGATCCCATTATTGATTCATCAGCATCGAGCCGATACTATATGGCATCAGTCGGTATGAATTATTTACTTATAATCGATATTCGAATACTACACAAACACTGTAGTTGTTACATAATATAATGAATGGACTGTAAATGTTAGTCCATGGATCATCCTATTTGGACATTTCAATGGTTTAGACAAATTTCCCCAAGTGTTAACGTTAGTCTATAGAGAGAGAACAAAGAAGATTATACTAAATGGACCAGTAGCTTAACCAAAAAAAAAAAAAATGGTTAAAAAGTTGATAATCATCAAGTTTAACAATTATCCCAAGTTCACGCTTACGATGAAATAAAGGACTTTCAAATACGATTCCTAAAATAAAAGAAGAAATAAATATCACAAACAAAATTCTTTTTTATAGAGGCTGAATTCATAATCTTATAGCACAAAATAATATTATATAATCATCAAATCATAAGTCCTAGTTCATCACCCATTACCTACTCAAAAAATTATTAAATAATCCAATTTTAGCGACTTATACTACCATCGCAGTGTGGAAAACTAGATTTGTCTACTTCCTTACTTGAATAACATTATTTCAATAAAATTTTTTAAAAATAGGTGGAGCTTGCCCTTTCAAAAAAAGTTAAGTGTTGCAACAGCGGGAACCACTCGTTGGTTTTTGGAATTCATAGTACCAACTATTTTCACACTATTAACCCACATTCACTTTTTCAATTTTTATGAGACGATTTTCAGTATAATTTACATGAATTGTTTGTAGTTTTTTTTTTAATTATAATTTCAGAGTTGCGTATTGGCCTGTTGGTGCAACTTTTATTTTTAAATAAGTTGAAAAAGTTAATTACCATAATGTTAGAGAAATAATGCTTTCGGCGTCTTTTTTATTACTAACCTTTAACTTACAATAAACTGTACCAAATAGACACATGAAGGGGTTCGTTTGGGATGTGGGTTGACTTTTTGACTTTTTGCCTATTTTAGCCTGGGGCTAAAAAGCCTCACTTGGGATAGGCTTTTTGGCTTTTGTAAAAGAAAAAATGAAATGAATATTGTTTAGATGTAACATTTTGTGTTATTGGCTTTTTAGCCTATTTTGTCTTTTTGCCATGGCGAACGAAGGACCAGTTGTTCATTCCTTGTCTTTTACCTAGTTAATAAAGTGAGTCAATATTATTTCTTGTAAAAATTGTCATCACGTAAGTAGTTGGGAACATTAAATAAATAACACCACATGATACTCTAGGATGACTCAATAATTATCCTTGCTAACTGGCTAATTATGTAGTACTCTAGGAGAAAAATATGTTGATTCACTTTTGTTAGATAATTAAGAAATAATAAATAATTCACTTAATACGTTATGATTTCTCATTTGTTGATTCATCAGTGAAGCGTTTTGCCAATTCCGAATAACATATGTATGTTTTGCCAATTCCATGTATGTCTGTATGTATGTATTTATAATCTTCACTGTAGGAGCCTTTTATTTCTATGTCATGACACTCCAAATCTGTGTTTGTATGTATTTATCTTTGTACATTTACACCACTTACGCACTATGCACCACTAAAATGTTGGTTATGTCACCCACTATTTCAGTTAATAGAAGATGGGTTCATTATGAAAATTCAATTGTCATTTGTATAAGCATTATGTCTCTTACACACAACGTTGTCTTGTGCAGGCGAAAGATCAGCCGAAATTGAAATGCCGACGATCTGATTCGGGCATATGGGACACCGCCTTGGACCATAGAGTCCTACGTTGCCCATTCCGTGCGGGGTTCTATGGGGTGTATCGGATTGGACCTATTCGATTAGACCACCATCTCGTTACAACTCTCATAGAGAGGTGGCGCATAGAGACGCGCACATTTCATTTTCCTGTTGGAGAGTCCACAGTTACATTATAAGATGTGGCTATTCTATTTGGCCTACCGGTTGACGGACACGCAATCACTGGAAAAGACCCAGGAAATACGTTGGATGATTTGATAGCGCTATGTGTGGAGTTGTTAGGAGCAGCACCTACACAAGAAGACTTCATAGGATCATCACTTAAGTTGAAATGGATATCAGAGCATTTCCGTCACCTTCCACATGATGCATCCGATGAGACGGTTCATCATTATGCTCGAGCCTATATTATGTGGCTTATTGAGAGGGTGCTCGTCCTCGATAAGTCACAAAATATATTAAAGATGATGTTTTTGCCACTACTTAGAGACTTTGACCGTATCCAGGAGTACAACTGGGGTGGTGCCACATTGGCATGTTTGTACAGGATGTTGTATCGGGCAACCAAGGCTGATACAAAGGAGATAGCTGGCCCACTTGTGCTATTACAAGTGAGTTGCAATGACTTGTAGTTTTATCTCATATTTTCAATTGCCATGTTTTCTAAAGTGCCTACTGTAATAAATTAATAATGGCATCATTCATTGTAGGTTTGGGCGTGAGAGAGATTGAGCAGGATCGCCCCTAGTCAGAAGTCGAACATTGCTGCTGGCGAGCATGCCATACGGGAGGGCGACCAGCTGTTACCACCTGGCCCGCGAGCTTGCAGGTGGAGGGTTCCCTTCAGCCATGAGGTGATATCAACTAATGTTAGTGTCATCTTCCGAGACCAGTTCGACCGCATGATGGAGGGGGAGGTTTGTAATTTGTTCATGTGAATTTATCCATTTTTTTGTTTGTCAACCTCCGTTGTGCAAATAGATCTCTAAATTATTGCATTGCTATTGCAGTTCATATGGGAGCCTTACAGGACGGAGGATGACATCATGACCAGCTTCCCATCGTATTGTACCGTTGGTCGAGACATATGGATGGCACAAGTGCCACTTATATGCTTCGATATCATTGACTGGCATCTCCCCGACCGGGTGCTTAGATAATCTGGACGAGTTCAGAGTGTGCCTGATCGCTTTGACGCCCACTTGGCTATGCATTTTAGAGATAGGCGTGGCAAAATGGGCATTGATTGGGCAAAGGAATACCAGACATTTATTGGTGAGTAGAACAACCGACGCAACACCATTGTCCATGTTGAGAGGAGTAATGAAGTGCTTACATCTTCGGACCCATACATGTTATGGTTTCGCCGTCATACACGTCTAGTACTTAGTAATCCGAGTGACATTGCTGCCTTTGGATACCCAAGGCGTTGGGGGTAGTTTAGAGGGATTGGTAAGTTCTTTATATTCTCCAAAACAACATTTGCTTAAGTTTATGTATGTTTGTTATTTGGCATTGATGGTTATGTAACACAGTTACCATTACATTACAGGTTCGTAGAGTTGCGAGGGCATATCACATGGCAGACGCTGCCCATATTACACGCGATGGTAGAGAGGGATTGGATGCCATTGCCGAGATACGGGAGTTATTGTACGATGGTTTGCAACAGGCACACCGACGTGACCGACTAGATTTCGGTCACTTTGGCGAGGATCCTTATATGGGGGTAGATATTACAGTGACATCAATGCCGCACCCGAATATGCCATCCATTAAGCCATCGACATCAATGCCATCGACATCAATGCCTCCACCGCATCCTACTGCACGTCATGCACATCAATCAGACTATTTCAATATGGAACACTTTGGTGAGAGGCCTTCCATGGGCCTGTCCCCTCATGGTCCATCTGCAGCAATGCATACACAGCAGACTTCCCCACCTGAATGTACTAATTACACATCCCAGTTTGCCACTCAGGTAGATCCTCTAATGTCTGAACATACTTCCACACACCATGGCCATATATTGGACCCCTCCTGGTCACCACCCCTATATAGGACAGCGGTTGGTACCCCGGTGACTCTCTTAGCACCACTGTCTACTACATGTCTGTTTACTATGATTCCCTCTGCGTCGACATTGACCACACCCGACCCTTTTACAGTACCATCATCTCCTACCCCACCATCATTTCCTACACCACATATGACCTTCACCTACCATGTTGATCCACTCATTACCCATGACCTCCACATTGACGGGGAGGGGGAGGGCCAGGTCCATGCACCTACCAGAGGGACAGGTAGGGGTAGAGGTTGTGGCGGCCGTCGTGGTGTAAGTAGAGGCCGAGGGCGAGGGCGACGCCAAGCAATAGACCATGACAATAATGCAGCGGATGATGGCGTTTCACAGCTTAGTGCCGTATGTGAAGGTGTGCCGGAGGTGGTATCAAATGATTGTACTGCAGCCATTGGTGATGTGTAGCTAGCTTCTACAGAAGCGGGCGAGGGAGTCGTACGTGCAACAGCGCAAGATATACAGAGAGTATATAGTACGAGACCCAGGAGACAAACCCATGGAAGGGGTTGTGGAACAGGGGGAAAATTAGGACATTAGGAACAACCAACATTGGTAAGTATATTCAAACATTATCTTCAGGTGGTGTTTTCACTTGGATTAGTCTACATTGTTTAAGTTGTGGCTTATTATATAGTTCTGGCTTTTGGCTTATCTTATCTTGTAATTGTGGCTTATTTTATAAGATTCTAGATGCTGCTGTTGCTGCTATTTTTCGTTACTATTTTGAAGGAAGGGGTAGCTGCTTGCTGTGTTGCTGGTTGCTGGTTGCTGGTTGCTTGTTGTTTCTTGATTCTGGTTGCTGCCGGCTGTGTGTTGCTGCTGCTGGCTTCATGCTGTTGTGGATGCGTCGTGATAGTGTTCATACAGTTGGAACATTTACTTTGTTATTATGTTTGAAATAGTTATTGTGATACTATATGTATTTCCTGGACCTAATTTTCGCCTTCCATGTGGGATGTACATGGTTTATTCTGTAAATAGGTCTTGTTTATATTTGGGTGTACTTAGTGTTGGGTTTGTTCTTGCTCCCCATCTGTTTCTGTGCTTACACTACAAGAAATCGCACCTTTGGCGAGCATTTTTGGCGACTATAGTGCTTGCTTTTTGGCGACCTAATTTTAGCATTTTTGGCGACTATAGTGCTTGGAGCTAGTTGCTTGCTGTTTCTTGATTCTGGTTGCTGCCGGCTGTGTGTTGCTGCTGCTGGCTTCACGCTGTTGTGGATGCGTCGTGATAGTGTTCATACAGTTGGAACATTTACTTTGTTATTATGTTTGAAATGGTTATTGTGATACTATATGTATTTCCTGGACCTAATTTTTGCCTTCCATGTGGGATGTACATGGTTTATTCTGTAAATAGGTCTTGTTTATATTTGGGTGTACTTAGTGTTGGGTTTGTTCTTGCTCCCCATCTGCTTCTGTGCTTACACTACAAGAAATCGCACCTTTGGCGAGCATTTTTGGCGACTATAGTGCTTGCTTTTTGGCGACCTAATTTTAGCATTTTTGGCGACTATAGTGCTTGGGTAGGAAAAATGCTTTTTGCTCGGCAAGGGAAGAAATTTGATTATGATCTAAAACAGGTGAAATTGCTCTCAAATATAGTTATTCTTGCAGCTAATTTTCAGTGGATGTAGTTCTTATTTCTAACAAGACTTTTCTGTGGAAAATTATGAGGTCTTTCAGCTTCGCTTTTCTGATGATCTTCTAATGGAACTGGGTGCTGGGATAGAATTGGCAACTGCAGCTGTGCCACACCTTTTTCTGCCTTTAGCTTGTGTTGCCAATGTAGCCAAGGTTTAACTTCTCTCTCTCTCTCTCTCTCTCTCTCTCTCTCTCTCTCTCTCTCTCATCCCATTTTATAAATGTGGTCAATGTGTTCAATTAGTTTTGTAGCTTTACATTTATATTTTATTTCTTGTAGAATGTGGGTGCTGTTACATCAACATCTACTCACACTCCAATCTACAAAGCCTTTGCTAAAGGAGAAAACATTGGGGATGTTACTGTAAAGGGAGAATGTGTGGGCAATATTGCCGATTTGGTATGATTCTCCAACTTCTTTTGCAATTTCCAGAAGCTTGTGTTTGCTGTGAGGACGTTGGGAATGAATTTTGGTCACTGCTCAATATCATGAAAATGTTATGAATAGTGGTTAGGATGTTGGTACCCTCTGTTTGGGACCCCCACGTGTTATTTTGTTTGAGATGGGGGAAAATGGTAAAATAGGAATGTCCAAGTTACATAAGGATATATATGTTGTATTCCTATCTCTTTTATGTGGTTTCCTTTACTTGACACATATCCTCCAATCTTTTTAAATTCTTGGTGTATAGAAATGTAAATAGTGGATTTGATCTGTGTTTCCTGTTTTCAGGATAGAATTAATAGCATGCAAAACGGGAAAATTGTAGGCTCATTGACTTCATGTCTTTCAATCGACATATTGACCTTGTGACACTCGTGTTGAGTGTAGATACCATGAGCTGGATGTTTAAGCCTTTTGAACTGAGTCTTTTAATTTATCTATACCCGAAACCCCAAAATTCTTTTCAACAGATTGAAATAAATGCATGAGCTATTGTAACCATGCTGCATCCATTGAATTTTATATGAATTTCAATTTTGGAGAAAACATAATCAAGTGCTTGCAAATACAATTGATAATGTGAGGGGTCACTAACTAAGGTTTATAGGACAAATGACATTTATATTAATGCAAATTTGACAGTTATTTGGACATTTACCACACAGGTCACTCTTTATTAGATAGAAGAACTCACCAAGGGGTCTTGGTTATCAAAAATAAGTAAAATTAAAATAATTAAAAGAAGAAAGAAAAGAAATACAATGAAAAGTAATATTGTCATTCTTTTGTTATTTTGGAGATCATTAAAAAAATTCTTATGTTCCATTTGGATAAAACTTGCAAATGACTAAACAAACAAAAATAAATAGTATTTTTTGCTAAGTTGAGTTTCTATTTACTCTTCACTCTGTTACTACCAAATTCAAAGTGCTTGATCTCTGAGGCAAGCATAAAGGGTACTATACAAAGAAGTGATCTCTACGATTAGTCCAATATGAGCCCCTTATCTTTAAATCTAGGTGCAACAATGTGCCTTGTTTGACATCTTCAAATCTTATCTCCTCCTGTCAAAAGATTATTGTCCAAATATGCTGCCTTTCTTATAAAAGAATTGCCAAGGGTGCACAAGCCACACACACACAAATGTTATATCACTGTTTTTTGTTTTTTGTTTTTTTGAAGAAGTAATACACTAGTGGAGCCAATTGAGTTTCTACTTTTGAACTTCTGCGTATTGTGAGAGTAATGACACATTGATGGGCATCACACCTTTTCATGGAAATATGTTATTTCATGTTAAATAAAAGGAAAAACTGAACTACTGCAGCATTATGTTGTGACATTTCTACTTTGGCACTTGATGGTTCTCGGATCAGTGAGCTGAGAATTGGGTATGAATTTTATGGTCTTTTGCAGTTACTTCTATAATTCCCACCAAACTTCTATACTTCTATAATTTTATGGTCTTGGATCTAGAACAAATTTCTATATTAAAATAAGTTATAAGTTACTTCTATAATTCCCACCAAATACCTCCTACATACACCATATAGAGTTTCCACAAACGGTCTTTTTCCTTTTACAATATCTCCTGCCTGGCATGTAGAAATTCTTTGGACATATAACTGAAATGATTAGATCATGAATGTAAATGATTTTGCAACGAAAAAATTGTCTAGTTATGGCTTAGTCATTTTTTGCAATAACAATTTTATTACAAAAGAATTAAGTTTGTAATTTTTATTTGGATAAATTATAATTTTAACCTTGTAATCTAAATTTCATTTCGATTCCTATGTTTTAAATAGAATAATTTAGTCACTGCACTATAGGTGTAGCTATTTGGTCTTTCTATTCTATTCTATTCTAAAGTTAGAGAAGGTTAAAATTAATGATTTTGAAGTACTTGTTAATAATTTGAGGTGTGCACGTAAAAGTTTGACAAAAATTTGAACGAAATGATTAAATTAAAATTATATTTAAACTATAGGGACCAAAATTGTTCAAATTAAAATAATAAGAATCAAAATAAAATTTGAGTCAAATTATATAAATAAAAAATATAATTTACCTTTTTTTTTTACTTTAAACTAAGTTGCCTTATGAGCATTTTACTCAACAAATATATATATATATATATATTGAAATTAATATTTGAAACAATAGCTTGAGCGTTTAAAGACAAGGATTTCAATCCTTCATTGAAAATTTGGAAAATAGTTTTCATTTGGGTTAATTATAATTAGCACCCTTGCATTTTCATAATAATCTTAATTTGTTTCTTTCACTTTCAATTGTAATATTCAACCATTTATACTTTAAGTTAAGCTGTACTATTACCCTTCCGTTTGTTTATTGTTAATGAAGATAACGAAAATTAAAAGTAAAGGAACTAAAATGAAATTTTAGTGAAAGTGTGAAGTGCCAATGAGATGAAAAAAAAATGTTAGGTTTAGCTCGTATAACAAGTTCCATCAACCTTGTTAACAACTTAACAATAGAAGGACGAAATATTGATATTGCAATTGCAACTTAACTTAAAGTGTTAAAGAGTTAATTGTCACAATTGAAAGTGAAGGAATATCACAACTAGGAATAAAAAAAAATCATCAATTGCGGTGGAAAGATGAGTGATGATTTGGTTGTGAGAAAAATTGTCCCAATATATAGAAAACCACTCTTCTCCCAGCAATTCATGGAATTTTCTTTGAAACTTTTGGCAGTCAAACATAAAAGAATTTGGACGTCATCTTTGTGTTGTCCCGAAGTTTTGAATGTCATGTTTCTAGTGTTTATCATGGGGATAAGCGTCCCTCCATATCTCATCCCTCCATACCCGTTCATACAAAAAATCAACTTGATCAAAACAATTATAAACACAAGAACAAATCATATTTTATTTTATAAAATTGATGATTTAAATTTAATTATAATTACTGTTCATTTTATAAAACAAAATCTTATTTTTTTTTGTGTTTATAATTTTCTAATGAAATTGATTTTTTATATGAATAACCTTTTTATTGTGGAGCCTATAAGATAGATGGTTTAGATCATCGATGTGGATTTAAATTGAAACCTACAAAAAAAAAATATGAAAAGATATAGAGAGGCGAGATATGGAGGGAAGCTTATCCTATAAGGAGGCTTTGCTTACCTATATTAATTGATATATATACACAAGGTGTTGTTTCAGTTTTTTTTTTTTTTTTCCCCTTCATTTGAGTTGATTATTTGGAATTTTGAATATGTTGTTCAAGATGTTTGAATAATTTGAACTTTATTGCCATGATACGTTATGCTTTTCCATAATTAACTCCAAAACTAATTCGAAAAAGCTATAAATATGGGCAATTAAAAAAAAATAGTTTGACTCTTTAACAAAATAAATTCCGAATTTTTAATTTTATCAACTTAAACTCCAGTCATTTGAATTGTTTTGAATCTATAAACCATAAGTCTATTTTTGTTGAATAAAATTAATGAAATATAAAATCTTCAAAATACCTTTTTTCGTTAAGTTTTAATAACTAAATATTTTCTTTATCATCGGTTTTACTTAATATAAATAAGCAAATGGTTTAGATTAAAAATAAATCACAAATTTTTAAGATTTAAAATTTAGGATTCAAACCCTGAGATTTTTTTTTTTATTTTTAAATTTACCCCTTAAAATTTGTAAGCATTTCCAAAGAGTCGAAATTTTTCTAAATTGTGTTTTAATAACAAATTAACAACTGAAACCATACCCAATTTTATCCATAAGTAAGTGAACAAAAACATGTGGCTAAAAAATTGGCAATGCAATACTTGGCCTGGCAAATGGATGAAGGACAAAACTAGTTGGATTCGGATCATTAGGCAACATGCTTTTGGCCATGAACAAAGTGGTTTTGTTGTGAAATCTGCACAATTAAGGCTGGGCTTCAATCTCTTGTAGAATGATATAGAAATCATTTAGAATTCGAATCTCCACATATAGTACAGTGCACTGGTCTGGGATAGACTTATCAAATGAAGCAAATGGTGAAAAGGGACTTGATCTCTTCATAGAGAAGGGTAGTTTTGTCTGATTTCACAATAAAATTGAATGTGTTGTAGATGACAGAGTGATTCTTTTGCAATCTATAAAGATTCTTCTAGGTTTGAAATATCATCATGAGAATGCAATTGTGCACTGTGAATCTCAAGTGCAAGAATGTGCCCCTGGGCTAGTCTGCAAGTGTCAAGTTGGCAGATTTTAGATTTTGTAAAGATGCTAAATGACCTGAAGACTGCTTAGATATTTATGTCACATCGACTATTCAAAATAAATCAAATGTCCATGTTAGACACATAACACTTGGATAAAGATGTGAGATATATATATTTCCGTTTTAACACTACCATTATATTTATATGTTATTGTATAATTGCTACAAAACTAATAAAATACATTTTTGACATTGTATGTTATATATGACATCAATTTATCTTACAAAATAAATTAAAAATATAAAAATATAATCTTTTTCTGCGGAATCTGTATACCTTTAAATTTAATATTTGATAGGTCTAACCTCAAGAAACATACCCGTACCTGACACCTAAGTTCGTGTAATATAGCTAGATATCTTCTAAATCTTGTAGGGACTCCCTTGTGAATGGCTCTTGAAATTTTGAAAAATAAAGGGTTGGATTTTTGCAGATGATATATGGTGTTTAGGATGCACAACAATTGAAATAGGGCAGTTAATAAGTGGTTGAGTTCATAATCTATGAATTACACAAACTTGTGAATGTTCAGAGTACATATGAATGGAACATGGCAACAACTACATTACATTGACTGTTTATTAATATGATAGTCAAATTAATTGAATCCCTCCAATCTAAAATAAAAAAATTAATACCTGATTCAGTCAAATTATACATACAATAACCAATTTACATGATAATGTGGTGTTATCCATTTTTTTAACCTCTAGGTTTACTCTTATGACTTATTTATATTGCTGGCGTAGCTTTGCACAAGTTCCTTCCCAATGTCTTCTGTAGTGGAGAAGAAAAAAAGAAAAAAGAAAAAAAAAAGTGGATATGTAACATTGTTTCAATTTTCAACTGAATATTGACAATATTATTGATTTAGGATATTATTAGTTAGTGGAGAGAAATTATAGTCTATATCTAGAAGAGGCCTAAGCACTTTGTAACCAATTTTTGAGATAATAAACATTGATTGATTGAGATCTTCCCTTTACATTCTCTCTCTCTCTCTCTCTCTTGTTCTTGATTGGACTTTTCATCATTTGGTATCAGAGCAAAGATTTTGATCC